TGCGCTCTCTCATTCTCTCTCTCTCAAATAAATAAAATCTTTAAAAAAAAAAAAAAAGAAGTTCATGTAAGCATTTGGATTGGCAGTCCTCTACTCTTCATGTAGAAGTTATTTATTAATTAAATGTATCTGCACATAATTTCTGTCCACAATATTTTGTTCAGCCTACTCCTAACTTTTATGGACCTGCTTTAAATTTTTTAAAAATCCTGTTTAAAAAACAGAACAATATATATGTTTTTAAAATTTTTTCCCTGCTTTGAAGTAACACAAATGGCAGTCTTATAATGACCTAGATCCTTTATTATATATAGTATTTTACTAAAGGAATACACAGTTCATATAAAAATATGTACAAATAAAGACTGAAATTCTGTAATTTACACTCTTAGGTGATGAGGCCACCAATTCATAGTATTGGTGTTATCAAAGTCACTGGAATACTGGCAGGAAAAATATAAAATAGCAGGAAAGTGTACAGTGCATGAGAAGTGCACTTTATAATGATTTTGGAAAATGAAAGTTATAAATGAGATGTAAAATCATGGAGAGAAGATTGAAGAGGAATCACACATCTTGTACAACCACTTTATGATAATATGGTAAATTTGAGATGGATGTTAACTGGATACTTTAAAGATGAACAGGATGAAGTATAGAAATATGATCCTACTTGTGTCTTCTCAAAGAAAATGTGGAAGCTGGTGATAAATTAAAAATATATAGGATCTGTCAGAAAACACTTTCTTAAAATAATGATAGTAGCTAATACTTTGCATTGATTAACTCATTTATGCCTCTGAAAACTCAGTGAAATAGATACTACAAGTATCCCCATTTTCAGATGAAGGATTTGAAGCACAATGAAGTCCCCCCCAAGGTCACACAGCTCATAAGTGACAATGGCCAGATACCCACCCAGGCAGCCAGATTCTAGAGGTCAGGCTGTTAATATTACCCTAAACTGATGATCCCTGTCTTCATAATCCAGTATAATTATCATCAGAGTTTCGTATTGCTAGGTTAACATTATTTAAATACCCTATATGATGTAGAACATGTATGTGATCTGCGTAACTGTATTCATTTGCAGATTAAGAAGAACCCAGTAGCCTAGTGGGAAGGCACTTTGTCATCCTTCCTTGTCCTGAGGGGTGTTCCGGGTTTGGAGGGCCCCTCATACTTCTCAGTCGGATACTAGCGCTTCCTGAGTAGCTCTGGCTACCCTCTAGAACAGACTGAAGAACTGAACTGGTTCCCCCAGCGCACTTGAGTAGCTCGGGGCACTGCTCACAAAGGTATCCGGGACGATTCTGATACAGGCGCAAACCAGTATTAAGCCAGAACCCAAACCAGTCACTCCAGTCCTGCTGGAGATGCAACCACTGGTGGTCCTTAGTTCCTTCTTGAAGCTCTTTCTCTTTCAGCTCAGCCTCCACTCGCTGTACCACTGACAACCACCATAGCAAGTCTGTGTAAAAATGAATCATTCTGGATGTGAAGTCAACAGAAGGATGGGTGCCAAGATTGGTCTACCAAACCAATAGTAAAATAAGTCTTAGTCTCCTGCCCAAACATTTGCAAATAATTTATATTTTCACTTAAATTGAGCCCCAAAAGTTCCCACTTCCGTAGACTCTAGCCCCTCGGCCAGGTGGTGATGAATTACAGCTCAGAAGAACTCAGGCTGCTCTAACTCAAACCTAGGGACCACCTCCATCTCTCAGTGGCTGTTTCTTCGAAAACTTACTTTTAGCCTTTTGGGTTGGCGTTTAGCTCCATAAAATCACATTCCCCTTTTTTCCTAAAGTGCTGCATGAAATATGTCTCTTTCAACGTGTATTTGAGTATATCTCGTGTGGTGGATTTCCCACACAGACAGACTCCTTGGAGACATCTGATACCTCACAGCATTCCACCTTCCACATGTTTCACAGCTGCCAAACTGAAAATTACTGTGCAAGATACTTTTACATCCTAAACCCAGAAGCATCATATATTTTAAGTACTTCTAGTTATCACCTGCAGAGTGGATACTAATTAACTCATAAAAAAAGGAAATTCAGCCATTAGAGAGATTTTACCCTAATTTTATGAATGATATTTAAAAGCATGAAATTAGTTTACAAAATGTGAATCTTCTTATAGCCTTCTTTGGATGAGGTGCGGTAGCTCAGCTGTAGTCTATGTGTTTTGCAGTATGGGAGTTATGTGGTACAACGTATGTCTTAAACAATGCAGTACACAACTATTCTAGATATTAAAACAACTGATTAAGATGCTTTTAAAATGTTTCATAAATACAGACTTGACATGTGTGAAATATATTTTAAATCAACCTGAGGGTCAAGGAAGCGTCTAGAAGGTAATGTTGAAAACTAGCAGGGAATGACCTCTTCCCACTTGCTCTTCTGTGTTCTTTACTGTTGCAGGGCTATGTTTGAAGTGAACATGAGAGAGAGAGACGGTGGGAGCGTCACCATCACTAATCTGTCCTCCAAAGCTGTGAAGGCGTTTCTTGACTACGCCTATACCGGGAAAGCACAGATAACAGATGATAATGTGGAAATGTTCTTCCAGTTGTCCTCATTTCTTCAAGTCTCCTTCCTAGCCAAAGCTTGCAGTGACTTTTTAATAAAAAGTATTAACCTTGTCAACTGTCTGCAGTTACTATCTATGTCAGACAGCTACGGCTCCCCCCGCTTGTTCAATCACGCACTGTACTTTGTACAGAACCACTTTTCCTTGCTATTTAAGTCCAGTGATTTCTTAGAGATGAATTTTGGAGTCCTGCAAAAATGTCTGGAGTCAGATGAGTTAAATGTCCCCGAAGAAGAAACTGTCCTGAAAGTTGTCCTTAGTTGGACCAAACATAACTTAGAATCGAGGCAAAAGCATCTGCCTTGTTTGATGAAAAAAGTACGATTACATCAGTTATCCGAGGAGACCCTTCAAGACTGTCTGCTCAACGAAGAGTGTTTACTCAAAAGCACACACTGCTTTGACGTGGTCATGGATGCCGTTAAGTGTGTGCAAGGTTCTGGTGGACTCTTCCCTGATGCTCGGCCATCCACCACTGAAAAATACATCTTTGTTCACAAAACTGAGGAAAATGGAGGCGGCCAATATACATTTTGCTATAATATCAACAGTGACTCGTGGAAAGTGCTGCCACAGTCACATCTGATCGATTTGCCAGGGTCTAGTCTGTCTAGCTACGGAGAGAAAATATTCCTGACAGGAGGCTGCAAAGGGCCATGCTGCAGAACCGTCCGGCTTCATATCGCGGAGTCCTATCACGACGCGACCGATCAGACCTGGTGCTACTGTCCAGTGAAAAACGATTTCTTCCTGGTGTCAACTATGAAGACACCGAGAACCATGCACACGTCCGTCCTGGCTCTCAATAGATTATTTGTCATTGGCGGGAAGACCAGAGGGTCTCAGGACATTAAAAGTCTCTTAGATGTTGAGTCTTACAACCCTCTTTCCAAAGAGTGGCTATCTGTTAGCCCGTTACCCCGGGGCATATACTATCCCGAAGCGAGTGCATGCCAGAATGTCATCTATGTTCTCGGATCAGAGGTAGAGATTACAGATGCCTTTAACCCATCACTCGACTGCTTCTTTAAGTACAACGCGACCACTGACCAGTGGTCGGAACTGGTAGCAGAGTTCGGGCAGTTTTTTCATGCAACCCTGATTAAAGCTGTCCCGGTCAACTGCACGCTGTATATATGTGACCTTTCCACCTACAAGGTGTATAGTTTTTGTCCAGACACTTGCGTCTGGAAGGGGGAAGGCTCTTTTGAATGTGCAGGCTTTAACGCAGGTGCAGTTGGGATCGAAGATAAAATCTACATCTTAGGTGGCGATTACGCTCCAGATGAAATCACAGATGAAGTGCAGGTCTACCACAGCAGTAGATCTGAATGGGAAGAAGTCTCACCGATGCCAAGAGCCTTAACTGAATTTTACTGCCAGGTGATTCGGTTCAATAAATACAGAGACCCGTGGTTTTCTAATCATTTCTGAAAGGAGCACAGTCTAAAATGATTCCAGGTCTAGAAACCTACTGTAAATCTGTTAACCTGTAGTCGGTAACGAGGTCTTTACCTCTTAGTAAAGTAAAATGTACCGTCTGTTAGAGAATCACTATGAATGTACAGCATATAGAACTTAGCAGTTGCCAGAAACTTTAAATACAAAGTACATTTACCAGACATTATATTGAATATAATTTAGTCGTGGAGAATCCAGAATACTTAGTATCCTCATATGTAAGTAAAACTCATAGGCATCGATGTCTTGATTTTTAGAGTAGTTTATCCATGAAAGACCAGTAAGAACAAAATCAGTGTTCACAGATTTGTACTATCTAGACAGGAAAAATCTCTTTAGGTGGTGGAAATGGATTACTTGCACACTATGTTAGGTGAAGTGAAAATTAAATTACAAAGAGGTAAGAAGCCTGCCCTGTTACTACAGGAGTAAGAGGGGCTGAATTCCTATCCTTTCCAATCATGGCTTAGCTTCTTTTAAGCCCTTCCTTTTTTTCCCACCATTTGTTGTTTTTTTTGTTTTGTTTTGTTTTTCGTCAGGTACACTTTTCTAAAATGCAGTGTATTTCCGCCTGGGCTTCTAAGCTATACACTAAACATGGCTTGACTTTTTTTTTATGATTCAACTCTTCGTTAAGAGCATAATGTCAGTGGCAGTTGCTGAAATGCTTTTAAAGTTGCTGATTCTATTAGTTCTCAGTGTTAGTTGGTTTCAATTTCTAGCAATATCGTATCTTTCTTATTTTGTGGCTCAGGCTCAGTAAATTAACATTCTTCATTTAATTATTAGTTCTAAGTTACACCCAATCTGAGTCTATCTTAACATGTAACCCATTGAGTGAAGTTCCTGGATTCTGATATGGTAGTCCTCAAATACTTTTTCTGTATCCTTGCCAGTTTCCAGGATTACTGAGGATGTAGGAAATCTGACCTCTAGATAAGTGTATTCTTATGTTGCATTTCTTAAATTTTTAAATGTCCAAATTTGAGTTTGGACAAATGAATTAATTAAGAAATTTCAACATTTAAATTAGCACCATATCAGTTTTCTTTGATGATATATACCAACTAAAAAGCACCGTGTTGGTTTACTACTTACATAAGTTATTCATAGTGAATTGTTTTCCAAATTCTTTTAAAAATGACTAGGTTTTTGGTATTGATCTTATTTACAACCTGATGTATCTGTTTAGATGCTTAGTCATCTTTAACCCAAACAAAGAAAGAGTATCAGTCAGTCATCCTTGTTCTCAGGTAGGATGATTCTGTGTTGCAAGAGAGTATGTTTCTTTCATAAGTTTAAAAGATATAGCCATATTAGGCTGTAAAAGTGGAAATATACCTAAATAAAGGTCCATTTATTATACCATATAAGTTTATGCAATCGTAAGCTTCAAATATATTTTTTTCAAAATAGAACAGGACATTAGACTACATGATCATGCAATTCCAAAATCGGACTGTCCCTAATCAGATGACAGTTGCATAAAAAGTATTCTGTAGAATTGTTGGCCTTCCTTCCTAAGTTGGCTCTGCCTTTTCCTGTGTGTGTGTGTGTGTGTGTGTGTGTGTGTGTGTGTGCGCGTGTAAGAAAAAAAATTCAGTGAAGGCTTTTGTGTGCATATTTGTGGCTTTGGAAACAAATTATTTAAGAAAGACCCTAACACAGTGGGTGACCTATCTGTGGATTTACTGAACTGTTAATTTAAACATATATAAATAATTAAAGTATGTTTAAAATAAATAGTTTTAATTACTGACTCTAGGAATTGTTAATCTCTTACAGAAAGGAGAAACTAAGGTGAAAGAGAATCCCTTCCTGATCTTGTTTCATTATTAGATTATCTTGACGTCTGCCCATCTTCTCATTGGCTGTTGATTCCTGGTAATGTTTCCAGAAACAAGGCCTAGGTCGCTCTCTCTGCATATGATCTCATACACCTTCTAACATACAAGGCTTGCTGCGTTTCTTCTACAGTTGCTGCAGTTTACTTGTTAATCATTTTTTTCTCACTGCCATCCCTTTCCATCTGCAACGGAGTGCTCTGTGTCGGCTACAACGGCAAGGAAAGTACTCTGTCTGGTCGTCACACCTAAATTCTTCCTTTGTTTACTGTTCTTTGTCCTTGCCACCTTTTCCTTGCAGTCTGTCCTGGGCTTGGCTCCAGTAATAATGCATCTTGTTCTCTCTAATTTTGCATCTTCTTATAAAGGTGTCATATTTACATTATCTGTCTGCTGTATTGACAAAGGGTTGTCTGTGTTCCACATCCTCGGGGAACCCAGCCACATGCACGTGTGGTCAGTGACTGAACTGGTTATATCTTTCTCATCCTGCCCATCGATCCCTGGCTTCACTGTCCGAGAACCATGCCTGGCATTCTGGCCTCACCCTCCGTTCTGGATCTCTGACAGGCAAGTCTCTGATCTCTCAAGCTTATTCTCAGAACCCCCGGAAAGAGCTGTATCCCTGTCTGTAAAGTTAGGTCAGAGGAAATAACACATCCCTTTATCTATGGCCTCTTCCCTGAGTCTTTTTTTTTTTTCCCTCTGAAGTCTGCTTTCCCTTCATGATCCTCCTTCAGCCAACGTTGCATTGTGAGACAAAATCATTGTGCTCATTACCCAGATTGCTTTCATTCTTGTGGAAAAATTCTGTTAAACATTCCTAAATCCTTTATCATTTGGATTATGCACGTAAAAAAAAATTCTAATATTGTAACACCTTCTAAAATTGAAAGCTATATGGCATTATTATATATAAAGATGATTAAATTCAACATTTATATGAGATCAATTCAGGGCGCCTGGGTGGCTCAGTTGGTTAAGCGACTGCCTTCGGCTCAGGTCATGATCCCGGAGTCCTGGGATCGAATCTCACATCGGGCTCCCGGCTCAGCGGGGAGCTTGCTTCTCCCTCTGACCCTATCCCCTCTCATGCTGTTTCTCTCTCTCTCTCTCTCTCAAATAAATAAATTAATTAATTTAAAAAAAAAGATCAATTCAAAGTTAATGGACACTCCTGGAGTGATCTACAAACTTGATTTAAAATGTGGAGCACCTTTTGTTCATTTATTGGTTGTCCGACTGAGTAGTATGAAGAATATTAGCATAATCAAAATTCACTACCTCCCCAGAACACTCAGCTCCAGCTCTGGGTGGGAAAGGAGTCTTTATCACAGCAGTATTCAATCATGCTACCCTGGAAAGCGAGAGTGCGATTTGAGAGTGACCACATCCCGCAACACGATTCCATTTTTCCCACGTATCAAGAGCAACTGGATATGTGCACAGTGTGCATAGCTCAAGGGGCACCGTTTAGAAAATCAGACTCAAGTAGAGAGAAACGTGTATTGACATTCTGAGATAGGGAAGCAGTAAATACAGTGTTGATGATTAGGTATATTGTGGACCAGGTAGTGTTACTTTCAGGTCCTCCTTCTCAGTTTAATTGGATCCCGTGTTTGGAAGGTCTTTTATATTGAGAATTGAAAATGTAAGCTCAAAAATGTCTTGAGGTGGGCCGCCCCGGAGGGCAACCTAAAAAGAAAGGCTGGAATGTATAGGGAAGCCGATTTCCATTCAATGTAAGAAATCACTTGACTCCACTTTGCAAAGCCATATTCAGAATAAGACGAGTCTTCAGACATGCCCTGTGGCAGTTGGTTGGCCCAATAAGTTCCTACACAGCAGTAGACAACCAAAGATTTCTACACGCTCTTTACACATTTCCATCTCTAGTTTTCTGACATACGGCTGATGACTTCCTCCTCCGATATATTTAGCGTTTTAGGTTCTAAGGAACTTGATTTCAGTGGCTCTGCGTGCTCAAGGTTTCAACAGACCTACACCCGTTCAGGAGCAGTCTTACTGAAGAGAATTTGTTCTTCTTCTTTTTTTTTAATCACTCAGGAAAAATCTGTAAATGGTGCTGACATTTCTAGTGCACTGCTAATAGGGAGTTTCCCCCCTCTACTGTAGGTGCACATTCTTTCACAGAGAATAGAAACTGAAAGACCAGCACCTAAAATTTTCTCCCGAATTAGTTCCTATTTTGCTGCAAATGTTGCTGTCTAGTTAAATGTAGGGATTCTAGTTAAAGATTATATGATTTAAAAGAACATATCTTAAAAACCTTGATGTGTTTATAAATCAATTCTGTTTGATGGCACTATGATGCTTAATCAAATTTAATACCTAGTTAGGGAATATAATCACGGGATGACAACTATTACACACTTACCAAAAGATAACTCTTCTAAATCCTAGATTCCTATTCAAACTTGAAAATAGCCTTAGAATCTAACACAGCTTCTGACGTGCTAGAGAGAAACCCCTCTAAATGCCAAAACACCCTGACAGCTGATTTTTTTTTCAACTTCTAATTCAGTTCTTTCAGGAAGAGAGCTCGATGCCTTCATTTTTGAAAAGTTCTACTACTGCTCACACTGAAAGCTTCGCGGCCTCCCAGCATAACTTCCCGCCCCTGGTCCTAGGGAGCTGTGTCCACCAGTATTTGAAACAGTAGCATGTCTCCCCTCTAAAACCGAGGCATCACTTTCCTTCTGTTGAAATGCTTAGCACTTTAAAACCTGCCACAACAGCTGGGGTTACATGTCTTTCCTTGTACCTCAGAAAATCCATCCTAATTCTCTCGCCTTTTTGGTGGGTTGAGCAATGCCAAGCATTGCAGAATCTCTCCATAATTCAGGCATTTTAGTCCCTGAACCAGCTCTCTAGTTCTTATAAATCCATTCTGAGCTAGACAGAGCCTTGCTGGGTTCTCCTTTTAACCATCCGCCCCACCACCACCATCATCATCAACATAACTACAAACACCAGTTTTCTGGGAGAGGAATTCTAAAGCCAAATTTTAATAAGTCTTTCAATCATTTGTCATTAGATCGGGTTTTCAGACTCTTAAAAGCACTTCTGATAAAGACCTTAAAAAGTATACAAAAAAACAGAAACCAAAGCAGTCACATCCTTGGTGGTTAATGGGAGGACGATTAGCTTACTAATCAATAAAGACTAGCTTTAAGGTAATAACGATCCAAGTGTGGAGCTTCACCCATGCCGTTAGTCTGATTGGATACAGCAGGCTATTTCCATGAAACGATGCCATTGTTAAATAATGCTGTGAGCCAGGTAGTTTTATTCATCCCATCAACTTGCACAACATTCCCTACCACAGCTATCTAACTAGCTCACCAAATTATGCTTTGGTTCCAAGGGTAACAAGGCTGCTGGGATAATTCAGAGTACAGTTCCCTGAATATCACATTATGGTGTAAATATTTCTTTACATGTCTGTCTTCCTCATTTAATTGGAAGCTCTTAGGAATAGGGACACTATATTCATCATGTCTGGACCTAGCAATTAGCATAGTGCTTTCATATAATAAGACATCCAGTAAACTGATACTCTGTTGAGCCAATATGTGAAACAAAATAGATTTGTTACAATTATATTGTTATGGAATAGGTCCATTATAACTGCACATCTTGCAACCTATTTTCATGTATAAAGGAAATGGTTTTGATCTACTTTAGGATTTCACATCTTAGAATGCTATCACATTGTATTTTAGTTATTTATGAATGTATGTGTTCTTTTTGTAATATTTGAGATCTTTCTCATGTTTAAAGTCTGAGAAAATTGGGATAGGTAATTTACACAACTGCAGCTTTTGTTAGTATATGGAAAAGTTAATAACAAAGCATTTGTTGACCACGAGATTGCATTACACAGTGCACTGTCCACCTCGGGAGAACGTGTACGGTTGCATAATGTATGTATAGTTCTTGAAAGTAAAATTATAGATTCAAAGTCACTTATCCACCTGATTTTTTCAGTGCTTAGGGACTATTTGTTGTCAGTGAATTTTAATTATAATATCTAATTCTGTGTTTCCTTTCAAAGATGATCATATATAAGACAATGACTGCAAATTCCCTTAGCGGACGTGCAACCCACTTTCATCCCCCATTAAAGCCTAGTAGGCTCAGCAACATTTTCCGCACTCGGGGAAGCTAGAGCTCCAAGCTACCAGGCATTGTGTACACAAATAATTTTCTTCATTTCCCTATTAGTGGAATGTGGGCTTTTGCCATATGCTTTGAGAAATAAAATCAGCATTTTTGCAGGTCCGTGTGAACCATATTAACATGTAGTGAAACATTTCAATTCTGTAAAATAATAATTTATTAAAATGTATCTCAGAAAAACACATTCTGTGTGTATTTATTGTTACTGGAGATAAAAGCGGTAGACACAGGTGGGTGCTGAGGTTCTCATTTTCTTGCCACCTCCCTCCCCCAGATGCCCTGAGTGCTCTGATGAGTCTCAGGATTCCAGAGTGTGGTGGAGGAAGTTTGGGGGGAGGGCCCGAAGGGGCCTCTGTAGCTTGAGAAAGGGTCCTGCACACACTTCAAGGCAGACACCCCCGTCCGAGAGAACACAACACCCCTGAGGAGTCACAGGTGTGTGAGAGATCCCCCGGGCCCTAAGGGAGCTCAGAAAGAGCAGACCAAAGGTCCGAGAGCCACACGACAGCCGCAGAAGCAAGCTGGATATGCAGGGCCACGCACCTGGCCACCCCTGCCCCCGTGGACAGGAGGCACACATGCCCCAGCCAGCTTCTGGGCAACAAGCCTCACCCCTGAGCTCACAAGCCCAGATGCCTGGGGGAAGCTAGTAATGGGGTCCGAAGCATGAGAGACTGCATGGTACCATGGAAAGACTGTTCACGTGTTTATACTACACAGATCTCTCAATTCCACTTCCTGTCATTTTTCCTCTTTCTGCACAGGCCCATTTTCCTTCATGTCTCTGGCTTTCCTGTGTGGTGAGCTGTGGTTTACTAATGACCTTGAACTTGGCTCCCAGGTCCCTCTCTGGACTACTGTCCAGGTGGAAACAGAGTTCCTCCTCAGAAATCCAACCCTTGAAAAACCAAGTCCGTCCCTATCCCACAGGACTGCATAAGGCCAGCTGCCTTCTCCAAATTTCCAAGGCTCTCTGGCACTCCCTTGTTAACCACTGGTCCAGACCTACCGCTCCAGACATTCTCTTCTTGCCTCCAATTCCCCATCTGCCTTCGTCTTCTTTGCCCTCAAACCTGGATTCCTTTCCTTCTCTTTAATCCCCTACACAGAAGACTTTCCAAAACTTACTAGAAACGTAAAGGTAGGAGAGCCTGGGTGTCTCAGTTGGTTAAGTGTCTGACTCCTGGTCTCGGCTCAGGTCACGATCTTGGGGTCATGAGATCAAGCCCCACGTCAGGCTCTGTGCTCAGCGTGGAGTCTGCTGAAGATTCTCTCTCTTCCTCTCCCTCTGCCCCTCCACTACTCTGCCCCCTGCTTGCTCGCTCTCTTTCTCACAAAAAAAGAAAGAAAGAAAGAAAGAAAGAAAGAAAGAAAGAAAGAAAGAAAGAAAGGAAAAAGGAAAGAAAAGAAACAAAAGTATCACTAGGGAATTAGCTTGCTACCAGGTATCAGGTTTGCTGCCCCCAAATAGGAGGTCTCCTCTCTTGGTCAATATTTTAATACTCAAAGGTCCCCCAGGGAAGCTTTGTTCTTATGTCATGAAACAGAATGATTAACAATCTCAGTCTGATGTACTGCCATTTGAAGTTCTTTCCCCAAATTCTACTTCTATCTGAATTTGCTCTCCCTGTTCCCCCCATAGGAAAAAAAAAGAGAAAAGCCCCTCAGTGACAAAATGTAATCTCCATATTTACAGAAAATAAACTGCAAAGAACATTTAAACTAGCAGTTCATCCCCTTTCCAATCAC